GAGGTGGATCAAGCCTTTAGAATCCCTGACTCTGAAGGGACCAATCCCGTCAGCCCAAGAGACCTCGATATAAAGGTTCTGAAGCCGGAGAGGAAAACCTGCCGCCACAACGGCCCCAGACCCCAGGCCGCAATAATCCCTGACTCTGAAGGGACCAATTCGGTCAGCCCAAGAGTCCCTAAAATAATGTTTCCGAAGCAGGAGAGGAAAACCTACCGCCACGACCCCCCCAGACCCCAGGCCGCTATTTCTCCGCTGCCCCTCCAAGGGTCTATGCTCCGTCAAATAGATGATGTAATGGCACTCTGCTGCAAGATATCAGAGAATAGCCAGATTGAAGTGGCTGTAAATAACTCGCGCAAAGGAGCTGCTGCTGCTGGGGGAGGGGCTTTTTTAGGGGGGCTACTCGGAGGTCCACCCGGTATATTTATTGGTACGTACACTTATGTTTTATTTCTTTTCACTTACAAATTTTGACCCACTTCTCCTCTTAACCACAGAGTGGTGTTATAATATCATCTATAAAAAATTGTATGGCTTGTTTTCTGAAGCCAAGCCAGTATATTAACTTTTTTGTAATAACATCTAAGCAAACACTAAAAGGAAGAACCTTTAACGTCCATGGAACCTTTCCATTGCACAAAAGGGTCTTTATAGGCTAGTGGAAAAAGGTTGTTGAGGTTTTTAAAATGTACTTCACACTATGGAAATATTGTAGTTCTTTTAAGAACTCTTCACTGAAAGTGAATGAAAGTGAAAAAAATAAATAAATAAAACCATCATTTTTAAAGTGTTTATTAAATGTTAATACATTTCGATTGAACTATGTAGAAAATATGGGAAATTCATCAGTAAAGCCAATGTTTAGGCAACTTGATATGATCAACTTTAAATTTCAAGTGAAGAAAACAACTTATTTTATCAATTAATAATTGTGGACGGTATATTTAGTGAACCGACTGCATCTTTAGCAGTTTGTTTCTTTGTCCTACTTGATCTCCTATTATCATATGCAGGTGGTGTTTTGGGAAGTGCTGTGGGATGGCTGATGACTAGAGGCAAATTCCGTCCTCTTCATCAGATGATAATGGAGATGTCTCCTCAACAGAGGGAGAAACTGTACTCTCAGTTGATGGAAGAACTGGGAATTCTGGCATGTGATAACCTGTCTGAACTCATTTTGTCAGGGATGAGTAATCCCTCTCTAAAAATGCAAGTACTTGTTATTTTAAAGTCTTTTGCCAGAAAACAGCTCAGAGCCAAAGTGAAGTATGGAAAAAAATAAAAATTTCACCTGGGGCCTGTTTCATAAAACAAGTTTACCAAATAAGCCAGGTTTATTTAATTTAGTCTGACTTATTGTCAATTGATTTGGTCCAAAATAAGTCAGACTAACTGAAATAAGCCTGGCTTACTGTATTTGGTAAACTTGTTTTATGAAACAGCTTTTTAATGAAATTTTTCTATATTATAAACATTAGTAGCAGCCCTTCAGCAAAGGAGGAGTTTTCACGGGTGCCTTCGATTTATTTACTCTGCAATAAACTTAATTGCTGAAGTATTCGTTGTCTCAGTTTTTTTTTTTTTGCAAATTCTCTCCATTGTGTCACAACACCATGTTCACCCAGTAATTGACTTCATAGCACAATAACAACAGCATCACAGCATCATGGCACCATAAAACAACAAATAAAACAGAAAACAGAGTTGTGAGATGGCGCCGATGATGATGGCTGCCTCCGTGGCGCGCTCCGCAGTTGTTTTTATGTTTTTCAAACATGAACGAAAGAAAAATAAACTCAACCAACATTCACAAAAACAAACATTCACTGCATTAACAAAACATATTTAATATGATTAAAATTAATCAACAATATCATACCGAAAAAATACATGAAAAACAAACAAACAAACCTCCCTTTGCTTGCCAAAGGGATACTAAAGTTGAAAGCTCGAATCATTCTCCTGAGCTGTACACAGTAAATTCAGCAGTGTAATATTTGCAGTGTTAAAAGTTATTAATTCCCAAAGAGTTGAATTAACAATCTACAGTGTTAAACAGTACTCGTGTTCAGTGTTGTTATATGGTGTAATTTCACTTTTACACTAAAAGTGCGGAATAAAAAACCCGCCGAATTGTCTGGACTCCGCCCTTCAATGACTGCTGCCTCAGGAAGCGACGGCGCCATTTTTTCTTCAAGCGACCGAGACGGTAAGTTGGATTGATTTCTCTTTATAAAAGTACACGGGAAAAACATTTTTTTGTTGATAATTTTACTCAAAATATGATTGGTGGTGAACACATTTAGAAATTACTAACTGCACGTGTTTTTGTCAGGTTTAGTGTTAAGTTCGTGTTCCTGAGGTGCAGTACCGTTAAGTTACCGAAGAGTGTGAAAGTTTCTCATGCCGGTCCGATTTCCTGAAAAAAGGTGATTACGTGTAAAATTACTTTTTGGAATGTGCTTACAATTTATGTTATATATGCTTTTAGCGTCTTTCATTTTGGTTCGCTGACAGATCCTCTAGCCTCCATTCCCGCCGAGGCCTGGTTTTGCTACGAGTCTGGCACTGAAGTCTGAAGCAACCACATTTGGGCGGTTTTCTACTCAAATTAGAGAATTCATCAAATGGTAAATTCATATTTGTTTTTGAAAGCACTGAGTGTGGCATTTCGCTGTTTCCATGCTTTGAAACGGTAATAGTGGGACTGTTAAACATTACGCGCTAACAATTTCGTTTTTGTTACGCATAACACCGTGTTGAAGTGTCT